TATATGTGCCAAAAGATCCATTATACAAAAATAGGAATGGGAGAGTAAACGCTTTGGAAGAAATAAAGGCGGAATTGTACAAACTCCTGCTTGTTTTGTTTACTCTAATCATAAAACTATAAAACAAACTTCAGATAGGTTAGACTGTCAATACAAAATTGGTAGAACGCATGCCTACAGGCAAATTAAAATCAAGATAGTTGCAAACACCAACATAGATTTTTCATACTAAATCGACTCGCGCAACTAACTAATATTTTTAGCACTGAAATGAGTACTGAAATTAGCATAATGGCAAGCGGTCCTAGGTATGTCAAAAAATTTATTTAGAATGCCTTAAAATTATGTTTTCTATTTTTTCTTGCCTATTGTGCTCTTCAAGTTTCTTGTATGCATTTCTTTATTTATTCTATATTTTCTTTTTAATAATTTCCAACCTAAATTGTTAAAAATAACTTTATACTACAAATGAAAATCAATCTTCCCTAAAACCCGCCTTCAAAATGTCTGACAACACATCTGGTCAGGGTTTAGAATTATGGCTTTTATCCCAAATATAATTTTACAACAGATGGAAGTGTATCCCAGGTGTGTAGAATATCAAGTGTCAAATCCCATACCTTGAAAAAGTCTACCTCAAGCATTCTAGGAGAGGTAAAAATTCGTGTCTGTCACAGAACTGAAACAAAACACGCAATCATGAATGCCTACTTACCAGTGTATATATCAACAGACCATACAAAATACAAATACAATACAAAAAAAGACTAAGGCTATTAACAGATGAAAGACTTACGAAATTAGAAGAGGAATATAAGAAAATTAACTGGGACCTAGTAAGCAAGCGAAGTCCAAAGGAAAGAGGGAAACCAACTAATATTATATACCCATTTATATGGGAATAAGTCACAATTGATTGTAATTTAATTACATTTTTAACTATAAATTGATGTTTCAAAACCTCCTCAACAGCTTTGGCAGTTATACTGTTTGCACACAATTCTTAAATAATATTATTTTTTGAAAATTATTTTGGGACTGGAAGTCAAAAGATCAGATATTAGTTAAAACTGCAATTTTTATTACAATCAATTGTGGCTGAATCCCATGTGACACAATATTTAACTTAAACATGCCACAAGAAAATAGTTTAAGAAACTTATTAGATAGTACAATTCAGAAACCTCTTATGCTACATATAAGAAGAAACATCTATTAGAGGAGTAGGGTTTTTCGTCCACACAAGTCACATTTCTAATTTACAAACTGAATAAAAGATATTCTCTACAGTTTCTGGTGTGACTCTACAGTTTTTGGTGTGCTGTTTCTACTACTTTTCTCCATTATTCTCTCTCTTTTATTGTCCTTTCTATATTTCTAATTTCCATACTCATTCAGTCTTCTTCCACTTGTTGTTTCCATCTCAGTTTAGGTCTACCTCTGGTTCTTTTAGTATCCATTCCGTTATAACTGTTAACGGAACATTCTTTTTTCTTCTGATTATGTGTCCTTATCATCTAATTCTTTGTGCTTTTATTGCTCTATGCTCTCTTGACTCATCCATTCTTGTATTTTATGATGCATGCAAAAAGACAAGTGGTGCAAGACTTTGTTGAGGCCATTTTGCATCTAAAACGAAATTGGGCAGGATAGATTGGTAGTGATAGATAATGACGGATTAGTCGTGGATAAGAAAGAAAGTGAAATGACGTACGCAAGAGGCAGGTACACAGCAGATGAAGCTTAATAAAAGACATAAAGTGAATTTATGGAAACTGAATAAAAATGACACGAGATAAAAAGGAGTGGGAAAAACTTAGGGAGACTACGTCCAGCAGTGGGCAAGTTAGTCTTTTAAATAGATAGATATTTTAATTTAAATTAAAAATCAAAAGTTAATATTGCTGTTTCTCTTGACAGTTTCTGTTTTATGAAACTTTGTGGCAGCCTGTTTGATATATTCATCTTGTATTGATGTACTTGCCACTGTGTTTTTATTTCTTTTTCTCCACCTATGTAAAGTATACATAAAGAGATATATCAAAAGAATGAAGGCCTTTATTTTTAGCTATATCTCTACAATCTGCAACAAAATTAATTATAGGATCTTTGTTTTTTTGTTTTAGCCCTAAAAGATATCTTTTGTCAGAATTGGTCGACTACTTCCACAGAATAATGCGCAAAGAAGACGAATGGGGTTATAAACGATACGACATGCGTTGGGACCCAGTTTTCCAACTTCGTGTTACTCTAACACAGAAATTCTCAATGAATTGGCCAATTGGGCATTTGCACTGGGAAAAAATAGAAAGGGAGCATTTAACGGACGATGTTAAAAGTGATATTCCAACTCTGGAAGATCTAGGAGTCAATTTAACAACTGTAGAAAACCAAATGCCGTGGGAGTTCAAACCTTGGACATGGGGTATTTATAGAGGACAAGATCCTGACGAACCTTTCGCTCCAGCTTCTCCGCCAAAGGCTCTTGCTTAAATGTGTAAAAATCTTTGTATGTATGAGTTAATAATAAAAAATAATGGTACTGCGTTGTTGATTCTTTTTCGCAATTTAAATTTTAGATTATTATTTCATTATTGAAATCTTAAATCAATTTATGTCTATATTATTATATAGAACTAACAGAGATACACAATAAAAATATACTATTTTAATTCTGGTGTTTAATTATGAATATTATTCTGACATTAGGGTGAAGCTGAAATTAAAAAAAAAACGGGTGTGGCAGTCCAGTGCCGGTAGAAGTTATAATTCTATACACGCATTCGCCGTTACCAATTTATATGGGAGTCAATCTGCACAATCATTACATATAGGCATATGGTGCATCGTTTGCTGTATATAAACATTTGCCTGTAATAGGAGTATGGTAAATGAAGGATTGTATCAATATTTTTAAGAAAATATATATTTTTATTTTCATATGTATAAAAGGAGTTTAATGCAAAAAATACTCCGCAGTAAAATTCATTGTTTTTTGTTATTAATATAAAAATGACAATATAATACACTGCAACATAATTCTAAACAAACTAAAATGCAATATTCATAAGTATTTAAAACTGCCAATATACATAACTTACTTTACGACGATAAAAATAAAAAATTAACAACCGGATTATGTAGTAAATTTTCATTTTATTTTAAAATTTAGCATTTTTGCGTATTTTACATATATTTAATAACATTAATGTGAAGTTTTTAAATATTTCAAAAATAAAAAAGGAAATTTATGTTGGGATTCTGACTCACGTACACCAGCGTATGAACCAAACACGTAAAAGATTTTACAATTAGACATGACACTATCGGATTTCAAAATTGAGTTTTCTCGGTCATATTATAGTGATTATTTTGAAATACAAAAGCCTAAAATAATTATGAACATTTTAATAAATAATGCAAAACATATCACATTAAAATATTAATATATATATATATATATATATATTATATATATATATATTATATATATATATATATATAAGTATATAATATTAAATATATATAACAAAGGGAACATTTTTATTCTCGGGAGAGGAAGAGAGAGAAAATATATCTTCTGTCTCTCTCTTACTTATTATCTTAGATATGTAATGGTTTCACATATTTACTCCCTTACAAATTTCCAACGTCGCGTATAGCAGTATAACTTCAAAAAAAGTAAATGCCGTGAAGATGACAAAACGGATTAAATTTTGGGCATATTTTATAAATTAGTTAAATTCTTAATAAATAATATATTTATTTGCATATGTATTTTATTTAGTTTTTTAACACACTTCTTAGTCTCGTAGAAAAATATTTACAAAAATTAAATTATGGCAGGAGCTCATATTAAATTCCGTAAAGAATTTAGTTGTGAAATTATAATTTTTTATTTAAAATGTGTCCAAAGAAAATAGATAAGTTAACAAAGGGAGTAAAAACGGATAATTAAAAGCGCGCATGCGCTGAAATTAAAAATTATTTGTAGACTAGAAAAGGCGAAAAATTTGGGTTCGTTCGAAAAAATATTTCCATATTTTTTGTATGTCCAAAACAACGGCTATTACCTCATTCCTTCAACGTCAATTGAAATTAATTTAATAATTTGTGCCGTTCCAAGTACCACTTGAGGCGATAATTTATCAATTTTTGTAAGACTTTACATAATGAACAAGTCAAAGAAATAGGTCGAAATGAACTCGGTAGTGCTAAGGAAAAGTCAAATCGAGTTCCTCCATACCCTGGGAAACTGCTGGTCCATCCATCATATACAGATCTAATAATTTTCTTAATGTATCTATACTCTTAAGTGTAGTTTTTTTAATAAATATTGAGAAAATGTCATCTGATCCGACAACAATATCTTTTAGAAAGTTAACTTCGTCTCAAGTAAACGGTTGGTTAAGTGGATGTCGCTGCAACGTTTGTTTCTAAATATTTTTCAAATATTTACTTTTATAGTCGGTTTTACTTCGTTATAGGTTGACATGAATTCGCTCTGAAGAAGCCAAAAGGCAGAAATATGCATATCAGCGAATGGTGGTACGCTGTAACGAACATTTTACTCTAGAGGTCTTACAGAAATTATTCCATTCTCGAAGGCTTCTCAACCAGCAAATTCTCCTTTGGCCAACATTTCTCTTACCTTTGATATTTCCTAGCACGATGCATGTCATAAGCATTTTATACTTCTCGACCAAAATATTTTCGCCGAATTATTGAATCCTCTCTGCGGTGTTCTCTATGTCAGGTCACTAGTCAAACACACAAGAAGTAGCGGTGTTGCCAAATTGTATTTGACTTTATCATAATTTGTCCATTCTTTATTTGATATATCTTTAATGTCCAACGTTTCATTCCACAGAACAAACTAGATAAAATGTAACATTCCGACTCTATCTTAACAACCCAGCAGGATTGAATAACTTTGATGATCATAGTGATGACAAAATAAAACTACAGACACAGTCTTTCTATTTATTTTATTTTTTGTTAATTTACAATTAAGGTTAAAATATATGTAATCACCATAATGTAAACAATGCTGTATAGTAATAAAAACAAATAAGTACATATTAAATTTATACGAGTTACGTCCACAGAAAATAAGAATACATGTGTTAAAAAGAAAAATTATTATTTTTTATGGACTACAATTATTTTACCACTCTTTGACGCAATCTGCGCCGTTGAAGTAAATGCTATTTCAAAGTCTTGGCCCCAGGTACCATTTGGACTTTAATATTTTTGAAACTTCTTTGGTGGCTTATAATATGCAGCTACATTGATTGCCATTCCTTAGGTTTTAGATCAGTAGGTTTCCTCTAGCTGACGATAAATACATAGTGTTAATGGACGAAAACTTTCTTTTCCTCTTTAATAAAGGTCTACTTTCTGGACGTTCCTTGTATAAAATAATTCTTGATTGATGACATAAAATATAATATATTTCGAATGCAGAATTTTAGAATATCACAATATAAAGTATACGATATGAATATTTATATATTAGAGAAGAATAAAAGATAATTGTCTACATTAGCAAAGATCGTCTGATTAGTCCGAAACTTGAACAATGGATTGTGCTTTATTTCCTATTCTCTTAAGGGGTTACATCGGTCTTGCATTTTCAAAAACTAGATATTTTCGAATTATTCCATATGAAAGTATAGTACTTAAAGAGTATTCTTATACCAAAATCAAACTTACACATATACCAAATGTGAAGTAATACCGAGGAATATTATCGGAGTTATATAGTTATAGTATCGCGTAGTTAGTTTAAAAATTTTAAACGCGTTTTTCTCGTAACTTCATTTTTACATATGATAGGCACAATTTCTCACGAACGAATCAACCAATTTTGCGGAATTCATCTTATAGTATTGTTTCGCCACTGACCGAAGGGATTTTCAATTAGTCGACCCGTTCTTGTTTTATACGAAAAAAATGTTTTAAAAATGATGAGTATCCGAAAAATGTCAAAAAATATGAGACGAAAATTCATTAAAATCTTTAAATTTCATTTTTTTTCAATTCCTTCGTTCAATCACGAGCTAAGGGCATAAACTATAAAAAAATTCGAATCTTTAATTTTGGATGAACCTGCACTACAATATTCAGCCTATCGTAAAAAAGGCTGGACGAGGAAAACTGAACAAACAAATCGACAATTCTTAATTTTTAGCTGAAATTTTTTTTACAAATTATTAAAATGTTTAACTTTTCTGTGTGTAAATTTTAAATAAAATAGATTTTTGGTTTTTAAAATACAATTATTTGAAAAGTTTTTTTTTCAAGACTAACTCTTGTAACTCCTTAAAAATGCATATTTTTCCACGGACGAAGCGACGTGCGAATGCGTTCTACTGCATGGTTTTTTGAAGCAGTGTTGCCACAGTTTTAAAAATTGTTGTTTCCTGCTAAATTATTAATCTTAAGTACCAATATATAATTGTAGTTTTGATTGCATTATAATAGATTACATTTTTTATGTTGAATTGGGTTTGTATCAGAGAACTACGAACACAGAGAAGCGACACGAGGCCCGGAATTCGTGTATCTTTTCTGTATACGCATGACCCAAATAAGGTGCTTTACTGTCAAAAACACGTGCGTTTTCTTCAACTTTAGTCGCTTACGATAGTCCATAGGCATCTGTGGTAAACTCTCGACTATACAAGTGCATTTGACCATTTATCTAATTTACTTAGTAGTTAAAAGTTTATAGTTATAGTTAAAATATATAAGTTAAATATATAAGTTTATAGTTATAGTTTATAGTTAAAAGTTTAATTTATAAGTATTTAAAATGTCTTCTGGTTATTGTTGTGCGTTTCGCGGATGTTCATCTGTGACAGGAAAAGGAATAAGTTTATTTAGATTTCCTAAGAATAATAACAGGTAATTACTATTGCTTTGTAATTATTATTAGTTATTACATAATAGTATTAATTTGACTTTGAGTAAGCCGACACCGACGTGTCCGCCCGAGCTCTCGTTAAGTGAAGCAATTAAAAAATAAATTTTGGTTTGCCAAGGGATAGTTCAGAATAAAAACCAGAGAACTACGAACACACATTAAATTTATTGTCTCCGAAGGCTCAGGTCAAAAAATCAACACAGATGTTGGCCTACTGGTGTGAAAGCGCTCGCAGACAACAATACGAATATAGTATTTTTAGGAAATAAAAATATATAGAGGGTTTTATACACGAGAATATTTGATTTAAACGAAACAAAGAAATTCCTAAAATGCTCAAACTAAAAATTGTTGGAAACATAATTAGATCGAAAATTGGGAAAATCTTAAAATTACAACAGAACAAGACTTCAAAATAAAAACATGATTGCAAATAAACAAACTTACATTAACATAACTTCAAATATTTGCTGTCTTTTTTACCAAACAAACTTACATTAAATTATGAAAAAACTAAATGCTCATCTACTTTTTGCTATATACAAAAGTTGTCTGTCAATGTTTAATTCGTTAAATATAAATAACAAAGATCAAATATATGGATCGGAGTACACAACATATTTAGGGAATAAATATTTAAATGGGAATTACAAATAAAAAATATTAAAACTTTATTTATTGTATATCTCAATATTTAGTGACAATTTTGAGACTTAATTAGGAGAAAACTGTAAATTTATTAAGATGAGATATTGACAAAAGTTAAATCGTTAATCGTTTACTTCAATATTCGACTTTAAAGGAAAAATGTAATTTTAATTGGTTTCCAATACATTAACAATCGATATCAATATAAAGTTTCTTGTTTCTCAGTCTCACCCAAAGAGAATTGGAATTTTTAGAGTTTGTGAAATTTCCGTGGCAGTTACAATGGCTTTGTTATTTTTCGATGATATTACGAAAGATAATTTATTAGGAAATTCCACGACGAACAAATTATATCTTGTATCAACACAAGCCAAAAAGAATCGGTGTATTATTGTATTATCAATGTCAACATTAGAATAAACAAAAAAGTATTTTCATCTATGGTTCCATCAATACGATTTTCACCATTACTTTGCGTTGTGCGATGTATTTGCAACCTTTTGTAAATCAAAAATAATTACACCATTTAGAATGTCAACAAAAGCCGGCCCTGCATGTAATTATTTTTTCAGTGCAATATTTCATATTTATTGAAAGTCAACATAAATGCTCAATTTTATTTAAGAATTTATATTGTGTAATATGCCCACTGACCATTAAAAAATAAGGTGATTTCCTGTCATTTTCACTCGTTGGCGGCTTGCCCACGCAAGATCAAAGGAGTGTAGCTTCTCTGCGTTCGTAGTTCTCTGTTTGTATTTCATTGGTTATTAACTTGTTATATTAATTTAAACTTTTAGTTTTTATTTAATTAGGTTAGCTTAGGGAAATTACATCTACCAGCATATTAGGATTAGTTGTAACTCATATGTACTGTACTACTTAAAATTTAAATTCAACATATTTACTCAGCAAAAATAATTGCGGGGCTCGGTAATAAACAATGGTAATGGACAAATTTTGAGTTTTTTCCGAAATATTACGTAAAATATGGCAAATGACATGACAACGCAGAAAACTTGACTTATTTTATCCTCCGTATAATAGATAGGGTCAGATTCATTTCTTAAAATTAGGTAAGAGACATGCATAAGAATAAAAATAATGTTATGTGTCCACGATGGCGGAAGACAAAGCAGGTTGTTCAAATCTAAATGGCTTTTTTGATGTTAATAGTGATAATTCTGAGAGCTACGATGATTACGACTCAGATAAACATCTTGAATTTTAAATATTTAGTGAAGCTAGCTAGATTAACTTTCTAGAAAGAAATTTATTTATATTCTTAGAATAGTTGTTTGCAAGTAAAAAATGGTAAAGGATGTTTACATCCACATTCACTTTGCATAAGAACGTAACATTTTTTACTTGTAAATATAAAAATGAATTCTTTGCAGCGCTATAATATTTAATATTATTTTTATTAATGTTTTAGAAAACTTTTGGTAGAACATGGACTTCAAGAAATTTCTTCTCACACATACGCAGAGTCCCGTACTGAAGAAGAAGGGGACGAAGAAAAAGAAAATAGAGAAGAATTAAGTGAACACAGTAAACAAGAAAAAGAAGATTCTGTTTCAGAAACAAAATCTAGAAAAAGGAAACGCAATTTAAGTAAGCAATTAAAACGAAAGAGTTCAGAAATCGCAGAAAAGAATATAAGCAATACAAATGTAAGAGAAATATGGTTTTATCAAAAACATAAGGTCCACCGTGTAGTTGTCCCAATAAAAGCTATGAGTTATTTGCATCTCACGAAGAACTGCAGACAATTTTTGTTAATTTTTGGGACATGAACAGTTTTGATACACAAAATGCTTACTTACAAGGTTATATGAGATCTAAAAATGTGACTAGGAAGAAAACTAGAAGAAGCACTAGTGTCAAAAAGATCTCAAACTATTGAATATAAATTAAAATCAAAAGGAAAAGATGTTAAGGCGTGCAAAATGGCTTTCCTAAGTATCCATGGCTTACAGAAAAATTAAGGTCGAGTTGAAAATCTAGTAAAATAATTAAAAACTGGATCAAATGCTCCCAAATCAGATCTAAGAGGTCGACATTCAAATTATCGTAAAAAATATTCCAATTTTGATATAGATTTTCGGAAATCTTTTATTAAAGGCTTACCTAAGTACAAAAGCCATTACACCCGTGCTGACAGCTCTACACAATATATGAGTATGGAATCTTCTATTCAGACTTGTTATGAGAAATATGTAGGAGAATGCATTTTGAAAAAGAAAACTCCATATTCTGCAGATAAATTCAGAAGAATATTTACTGAAGAATATAATATATAATCATGAATGTGTTGCTTGTGTGAGTCCATTTCAAATAGGTTAATAAATAAGACTTACTCACAAGCAATTAAATTGATTAAAATTAAATTAATTGATTGTGAGTACGTCTTATTTATTATTTCTTTTACCTAATATAAGTTTCAAAACTTTAAAGTTTTCAGTAGCTTTAGAAAATGCTACACAATGATGAAATTGAGGTTGAAAAAATTAAAACTGAACAAGAATTACATCATATAAAAGCTGAAGCAGGTGAACAGGCAGTCAGAGACGCAGTAGAGGAAGCAAACTTAAATCCGGATGTGCAAGCCACTGGTCCCATGTTCTATAAGAGAAAACTGTGTTGCTATAATTTAAGCATACATTCCCTTGGAGATGATCAAGGTCACTTTTTTATGTGGGATGAATCCACTGCTAAAGGGACGGATGAACTGTCTCAAAATGTACTTTGAGAAAAATAATATTCGTGGCAGAAAACTAATAGCTATTTCAGACAATTGCTGCGGACAAAATAAAAACTGGACCATCATGGGTCTTTGGCTTTATCTTTTACAAAATGACTCATCTATTTCCTCAAGTAGGACATACAACGTTGCCAAACGGCAGAGAGTTTTCTGTTGTAGAAAATTATGTCAAGCAAAAGTGTGAAATGGTCTATTCGCCCAATCACTGGGAAGATATTTTGAAGAAGTGTCAGAAAAAGAAACCTTTTCTAGTAACTAGGGACCAGCAAGAGATATACTATTTATTATTAATATTATAGAAATATATTCTTAATATTATAGAAAAGCTATTTTAATCAACCGGTAGGTATTTTACAAAGTAATGTTATGCCTATCTTCAGAAGTTCCCAAAAATATACAATGTCCAGCATCATACAACGGATTATTTAATTCCATGTGCTTGGATAAAAGAGGAAGACAAACAGCTGTAGAACAAAAATTTCCTACACTAACTCTATTATAAATTAATATTTACTCTAATAAATATAATTTCTCTAATTATAAAATATAATCAACTCCTTCGTATTCATCCAGAAAAACTAAAAGATGTAAAAATAATAAAAATATATGATAAACTTAAAATAAACTCGTAGTACCTACCAAATTATGTTAAGTCAATACCACTTAAAATGTTACGTTAAACTTTTTCAAATATTTTAGATAAATAATGTTAAAGTCGTAGTACATATTTTCATATTTTCCTCAATAAACATTGTAAAAAGATACTTGGTATTTCATATTTTGTCTACTGATTAACGACATGATCAGCTAATTCTAGCATGATTTATAGTCTTATATTTTTTAATATCTATCAAATCTTCTTTATTGTCCCTTGCCATTTTTTACACTGCCGGACCCCTCAATTGTATAATGTTGTTACAAGTAAGCATGTGAAGTGACCTTTAATAAGAAGATTGAGAACGGTGTGGCTGTCAGTGTCAGCTGAAATATATATGATGAATAAATAAAGTAATAACGCTATAAATAATTATTTATAACATATGTGGCAACATTGTATTTGTGTATAATATTTTGTTTAATGCACAAATGCCCGGGATTTATTTTATGAAGTTGATATCTGCTAATGTAAACTTTTACCAAATAAAATCTATACACTTCGGGATAAAATTAACACAAAAAATTTATACAAACAATATACAACCTTTACGGTTATCCTTTTTATTTTATTTTCTTTTAAACTTGGTTTTACAGGTAGTTGTTAGTCACGCACAACACGTTTTGGCGCCTTTGACGTAACTGTCAAATTTTATATGATTTATGTTTATATTGTCTTATAATTGTATATTTTTAACAGTATTATAAATTTGCGTGTTGCATAGAAATAAAAAATGTTACTTTTATCCAGAAGAATAATTAATTGACGTAATAGACAACACTTAAACTCAAAATACCCTATTACTTTATACACAAAAACGATAAGTATCTTTAGTAAATGCTCCTATTTTGCAGACTTTTGATTATATTATGTAACCTAAAATTGTTCTAATCGCTGTCCTCATTTAAAAATTTAAGCATTCCTTCCTTTAGTCCTTCTTGCAACTGCAGAACATGCGTTACTGGTTCAGGCTTGCCGTCTTTGCCTACTACACAAGGTTTTATTGTTCCACATTTCATTAGACTATCCAAAAGTTCCACTAACTTCATGGCTTCATATTCTTTCTGAAAAATAAGCTTAAACTTAGTAAGGCATTGATCAAATAGTTGCCGATGTGATTTTACTCTACTCACAATACTTTCGGTTTATTAAGTAATAATAAAATTGATGGTAGGTTTCTTCGACCAGTTTCGAAGGTTCCAATTTTTACTCCATCATCAGGCCTATGAACTATAGATGTTGTACTAAGTTTAGCCACCATAAATCTATTCTCAACTCGTTATCTATTTTTAAAATTGTTTAAAAAAAAGGTTAACAGATTAAAATAAAGTCATTAACATAATTTAAGACCAGTATACATAGATATGTATACTGGTCTTTCTATGCAACCGTCAGCTGGGCATCTCATTGAGAACTAGAATACTTAAGTGCTATGTTTTCTCCACTTTGCTCTATGGTGTTGAAGCCTGGACAATGACAGAAGCAACACAAAAAAGAATCCAAGCATTTGAACTCTGGTGTTACCGTAAAATGCTCAGAATATCCTACATAAGCCATACGACAAATGCGGAAGTCTTATGGAGGATGAATAAGGAAAGGGAGCTTATGCTTATAATAAAAGAACGGAAAACACAATATTTTGGTCACATCATAAGAAATCAAAAGTATGAACTGTTCCAACTTATAATCGAAGACAAAGTCAATAGCAAAAGAGAACCAGGAAGAAGCCGCAACTCTTGGCTTAAAAACCTACGACAATGGACGAACATGACCTCCATAGAACTATTCAGGGCTGCTACAAATAAGATTAAATGGGCAAATGTAATGGCCAACGTCCTTAAGGATAAGGCACCGTAAGAAGAAGAAGATACACAGATAAGACACCTATATTTTAAAATCAGCTTTTTGTCCAGGGAATCTTTTGGTGTGTTAGCAAATCTTATTTTAAATATATTCCACCCATTATACTTTGATATTAATTTTTACACACCACTATATTTTAAAATAATTTTTTGTCCAGAGAATCACTTGGTGTGGTCACAGGCAAATCTTTTCTTGAAAATACAAGATAAGATTTCCTGAACAAATTATTTTAAAATCTATTCGTGTGTTTTTAATTATGTTAATTATTTTACTTTAATCTGTTGGTGTCTGTACGTTTTTAAACAGTTTTAAAAGTAGATAACTGGTTGAGAATAGATTTATGGTGAATAAACTTACTACAGCATCTATAGGTTAATATGTCTATTATACTCTGATCCTTTTATTAGTTTCATATGCCTAATGATAGAGTAAAAATTGTAAATTCAGAAACGCAGAAACATACCATCAATTATTACTTAATAAACTTTTAGTAAATTGAGTAGAGACTTTTCTTTCCACATTATTTAGTTAGTCACACTAAAAAGTTGCAGCAATTCATAGAAATTGAGATTGTATTAGTAGCAAAAAATAAAGCGCAATAAGTGAAAGGTCACGTTTGAAAGATCCGCTACCTATAATACTATCATTGTTATCTAAACTTTAGTTGCTATAACATATTATAAATATATCTCATAAATTACCTGTTCCTCTGACATATTATCTGAAGCACTTGGATGAGGTTCTTCGTAACAACCAATGACTGGATTTATTCCATGTTTATGATCAGCATATTCTTCAGTCTCACTGTCCTCACTTTCAGAATCATAATCGTCTTCACCTTTGTAACGTCCACCTGCTAGGACACCTTTGGTAGCAAAAAGTCCTGCTGCGTTGCCATATCCTGTATATTTTATCATACGGGCCACTAAAAACAAAATAATGTCATGGTTTGAAAGATAAAACACATTTAGATTTGATGTAGACTCCTAATAATAAATATATTATACTGCATTTGATTATATAAAAATCATTCACACACCAACAAAGATTAATTATTTTTTGTTATAAATTTTATCAATCATTTCACACCTCCTTTCTACAATCACTATTTCAATTATGGGAACTCGATCAATGCATTAAATCAACAAATAATAAATCTCCCGGGGCGGATAACATTTCATACAATATGTTGCATAAAATGCCCTTAGGACATAAGAAAGCCCTGTTAGAACTATTCAATTCGATTTGGATAAATAAGATTCCTTTTCCACCAATGTGGAAAGAATACATCGTAGTACCTATCAAAAAACCTGGAAAACAGAACGGAAATGCAGATTCATATCGATCCATAGCTTTATCATCGTGTATATTTAAAACCATGGAAAGAATGATAAAGAACAGGCTTGAATATTGGCTAGAAAATGAAAAAATATTACCTGACTCACAATATGCTTTTAGAAAGGGAAGATCTTCTTTAGAACCCCTAACGATACTAGTAAATGACATCTATCTAGGATTCACACATAAATACAGCACTTTGGCTACATTTTTGGATATAACTTCAGCATATGATAATGTTCAAATAAATATTCTAGAAGAGAAGCTTATCAATATTGGTCTACCAACCTCCTTTGCCAACTTCATAAAATCAGCTTACTCTAATCGATCAGTTTCCTTAAAGATAAATAAAGAAGTTTCGCAATCAAGAATATGTAGATCTGGATTACCACAAGGTAGTATCTTGAGCCCAATCCTTTTCAGCATGTACACAATGGACATAGAAAATGTTATATCACCTAAGTCCAAAATTATTCAATACGCCGATGATGTTATTTAAACCAATAACAAATCAGAGAACAAATGTATAGAAACTATCAACACTGAATTTATAGAAATTCAAAAATGCCTAGACAACATGGGACTTTCCATATCCGAGTCCAAAACCAATATATGTATTTTCTCTAGAAACAGAAACAACTATCAAAGACCATTAACAATAGGAAAATATAAACTCCGTATTAGCAACTCTGTAAAATATCTTGGTCTGCATCTAGATAGAAAACTATTATGGAAGGACTGTATCCACCAAATTATCAAAAAAACAAGTAATTCTATAAATATTTTAAGAGCGTTTTGTAGGGCAAAGTGGGGAGCAGATCCAAATACGGCTTTACTATTCTACAAAACAATGGTACGATCAATAATGGATTATGGAAGTCAACTATATGGAACAGCAGCAGATACACATCTAAATAAAATCGAGATACAACAAAATAAATGCTTAAGAGTTTGCCTGGGATATCTTAAGTCAACACCCATAAATATTATACAAGCTGAAGCCGTGGAACCTCCTCTTAAACTAAGAAGACAACTATTGAGCAGAAAATTTATGATAAAAACCATTTCCAAAAAAACTTCTTACCTCAATAGTATACAATCACTAACAGTTCAAGTTTTGACCCATAGATACTGGCACTTCAAGAAAACCCCCCTAATAGTAGAAACTTTCTCAGAAATACCTGACATTACAGATATACTTTATTCCAACCAACTCCCCCCGGTTCTAATTTACTCGCCTGAACAAATTTTTTCACGTGAAATTAGAAGCTACTATTTTGAAAGTCAAGAAGTAGCAAGTATCAATCAAACAAAGTTTAACGAAACAAAAAACAAATACTGGCCAAACTATGATTCTATATTCACTGATGGATCAAAGTCAAAAGAATATACCAGCTGTGCCTTTTACCATTTGGAAGAAAATACTGACAAACAATTTATTCTACCAAAGGAAGCTTCCATATACACTGCAGAATTAACAGCAATAGTGGAAGCTATGAAATACATACTCGGGTCCAACCACGACAAATTCATAATATGTAAGGACAGCAAAAGTGCAGTAGATAAACTTACAAAAGTAAACATAAATAGATCAGTTAATCATATTGAAGCAAATATCCTGTATTTACATAATGAGATACACATCAAGAGTAAAGTCGTCATATATCTATGGGTAAAGGGACACGCAGGTATAACAGGTAATGAAATAGTAGATGCCTTAGTAAAAACAGCCCCAACATCAGGAGAAGAACTAAATCTTAAACTACCCCCGTCCGACTTATTCTTAAACCAAAGAAACAAAATAAATGAGATGTGGCAAAACTTATACAACGCTTCAACAACCGGAACAAACTTTTGTAAACACCAGCAAAAAATTCCCAGAAAACCATGGTTTCACAAAATACCAAACAGAAACTTTGTCGGCACAATAAATCGAGTACGTGCTAATCATGCACTAACACCCTATTATAAGCACAAAATGAAAATTACAGACGATCCATGTTGTATTTGTGGTAAAATGGGTACATTAGTACATGTTTTACTTGAATGTCCAATAAATAATGTAAACATTAATAAACTATATAAAAACTTAATTTACTACAAGATAAACCTTCCAATAGACCTAAATTGTATTATTTTTTCAGGAAATAATGATATCATTTATGTACTTCATCAACACATCATAAACTGTAAACTAAAACTGTAAAATTACTAACCAATTTTATAAGCAATTCTGCGAAAGAAACTAAATGTAAAACATTATAGAAAAAAAAAAAATAAATAAATACTTATTTTGTATATTACTAACAAAACAAATGAATACAACATGCTCAGGTTTGATACTATGAAACTTAATTCACACAATTTTACACAAACTAATGATTCAATGTAACATAGTCTGGCTAATTGGTTCTCGCCAAAGCCATAAATTCCACGAAAAAAAAAATCCATCATTTCACTGCTTCTACATATTTTCATATGTAGTAGACTACAGCAAAAATAGTTTGAATAATGGTCAAATTTATTGTTTCCATTGAAGGTGACTGTATGATCTTGTTTGATTGACGTCTTAACTCCTATAGTGTCCTATAGCTGGATCAAAGTGTCGCCACAGCCATTTTGGTGAATCACAGAGGATACATGTCCCCAGTACTGTTTTAAAAAATTTGTATATATGCTACTAAATCAATAAATGTAAATTTATATTTCTTAAGTAGGGCAAAACATCACCTAGTGTGTACTTAGTACTTCATTGGATTTTTTTTTAATTTTAAAAACTTCTTCACATACTAACAAGCATGAATGATCTTATGATAAAGTTTGACAGCCATGTCACTACCCCTACTTGTTTTCATAATGTGGCAGAGTATTACAGACATGATTTGGATTATAGTCAAAGATATTGCACCAACTTAGGGTGATACATGTTCTTGTTTTCTTTATATACTTCTACGTTAAGCTGGGTCCGGGATCATCACAGCATTTTTGTGAAGTCCAGCTTGTGTGTGTCATCAGCATTTTCATTGAAAATGTTTGTTTGTAATATTACAAATTATTAGCGTTTTGAGAAATTTGTATATATTGTACTAAATTAATAAATGTAAATTCATATTGAGCAGAAAAACATCAATAAATATAGCCCCTATTCAAAACTTACCATTGTTTTTGCACAAAACAAACAGGAAATTGGCAACCAAATCCCGCAGCTGGGTGACAGGAGTGGTAAGTAATCTGCACAGATGGTTCCTCAATGTGTCGCCTTCTTCGGGTCTGGTGTGGACATCTTTTAGAGGTGGTAAAATTTGATTCCTTAAAAACTTTCTGATAGGTCTGTGAGTGGTTGCTCCTTTTAGAAGAACTGTTACTATAGGGGACAGGATTTCATGTTGATTATAGATATCCTGTAAGAAATAATTTACAAAAGTTCATACTAATGCTATATGATAACAAAAAATCAAAATAAACTTAAACAGGTTATTACAATTAAAAAAAAAAACGGGACTACTTAATTAATTTTTTTTTGTTTATAATATTTTAAATGGATATATTGAAATAAAAATCTGTGGACCATAAAGAAAGTGCTGTAGTAACATCAGGTGTGAATGAAGCACGCGTTTTCCTTATAGCGGCAACAGGAATCGTTTAAAACCAGTCCTTTATAATAAAAAATAATATGTTTATTTTAGTTATTCTACATACGCTTGACAGGCAGTTTATTATACCCTAAAATCTAATGACTACACATAAAATGTTTGTAAAACAATAACTCACATAACAGATTATAAAATCCTAATGTGTACGACAAGCAAAGTCAATAACTATACCTGCGTTGTGTGCATCATCATATCGTAACTATTAAAGCCCATCTGCTTAAGGGCTTCATGTATAATGTATGAAGTACCCTTAAGCATTTATCCATACCAAGTCTTAATAAAGACTTGGTGTGAATTTTCTTATACGAGTAATCAGGTAAACCATCTTTGGAAATAAAACAACTTCTGCTGTGTGAAGAAGACTATCTACACAGTCTAAGGTTTTTGCGGTAGCAAAATGGAGCAGAGCCCCGATCGGCGACACCCTACAGTGTACTATGATCTAGGTGAGGCCGTGGTCAAACGATTAATCCTCACTCGAAGATTGTGCGATTATTCATACACAATCTCCGAAGAGAGGTAGGCGGGGCGATGCGCATCAAGTGCGTGCCATTGGTCGACAGACTAGAGCACTTGATGACAGTACAATTAGCATATTAAAGTTATTATTAAAGGTATTTCATTGAAACAATGTGTTAGGTTTGTCAACGCGGAAAATAAGGAGAAATTTTTAGTCCTACCTGTTGCACGATGACTAAATCTCTTTAGCACCATCATCACATGGCGATCCTGTAACAACTAAAGAAAGAAATCTTCTGACAAAGAAGATAGAAAAAATATACAGAAAATGGTAACTGGAAATGGAAAAGAGTGGTAAAGTATTCATCTTCGATATACTGAGTGCCTAGCCTACACTCTAACTGTTATCACCATTGGATGGGCGTTGCATAAACGATGACAGAAGCTTCGACGCCACACCATCGAGATTCTGGAATCTCGAAATTAAGGACACAATTTCGAGTAAACGTATCACACCAGATCCTGAGATCATCGCAACTGAACAATATGCTACACCACAGAACATCGAGGAAGCAAAGAGATTTGATGCATTCATACCAAAATCACACAGGAAGAATTAACAGTGGACTTATATAAGAAAAGACAAAAAAGGATCTACAAAGCTAATTTACTAAAGTTAACATAACCTAACCTAACCTAACCTACTTGTAATAGTAATTACCAAATTAAACTTACAGGTTGATCATTAAACTTGGCCTTCAAGAACATTGTCATTTCATAAATAGCGGTCATGTTCTTTCCTTCAAACTCCAAAGTTTTTATAATTTGGTGGGACTCTGAGATCGGAGGTAGCAACTCGGAATAAGCTTCTTCGGGCATATTCGTCAACAGATTGATGACATCATTACGCAAAATCCATGTTTTTTCTAGATCTGATGAGGATATTAAAAGATAACTGCGGAGAACCTTAACAAGTTGTATACAAGTTGCTACAGTTTCTACATCAGCTTCATCTATTCTTATAGTTAAGTTGAAAAGCGCTTTTAGTATTTCTGACACCATTTCAGCTTGAGCAGGCTAAAAATGACCTCAATTATTAAATTTTTATATAATAATTATTAATTAATATTAGTATATAATTAATAATTATTAAATATTTTAAATTCGTGTCAATGACATATTAGGGAAACACAAATATTTAAAAATACAAAACATGAAAGTATAGATTTCCTAAACACATTTTCATTAAAACATTTCATTAACTTCTTATGCAGAAAATATTTTCTAAATAGGCAGTTAAATTTCTAAATCCCCTAAATAGAGATTTAGGAAAGGGAAATACGCAATAGACGCAGTCAGTAGGATCACGGAAGTAATTGCCACATGTACGAGCACGTGGCTCGTGGCCTTATCTATGGACATAAAAAATTCCTTCAACTGCGCAAGTTGGGCCATCGCGGGGATGCTACAGATATACTAGAGGAAGATCTAGCTAGCTGCAGGCTATAGTGGATAACCTGATAGTTCTAGCAGAGTAAAATAAAAGCGGGCTTATAATGAACACAGCCAATACTGCACTGGAAATGGTCAAAATGTGGCTGAAAGACTGCGAGATGACACTAGCAAAAAACGGAAGCTCTAATACTAAAAGGACAGATCACATTTCCTTCACCCTCGAGAAAGAGAAAATAGTGCCTGTCAAAAAGTCAGGAGTGATGCCGGACAGTAAGCAGATCTTTGGAGGATACGTCAAATATGCTGTAAACAAGACCGAACAGAGAACAACAGCATTAAAAATAATTAGGCCAACAATGACGTCCAGGTAAAGGAAAAAGAAGGATTCTGATGGAAGTGGTACACTCCACATTTCTCTATGCAGTACCGGTGTGGCACTAAGTACCGAATAAACAGAAGTACATACAAACAAATATTAAAGAAGACCCAAAGAAAACCCTATTAAGGGTTATATGCGCTAGACTGATCTCGAAGGTAGCCCTACATGTTATAGGTTAGGATGGTCTGCGGAATAAGCAACACAGCAGAACAATGTGTTCGAATATAGGAAATTCAATGACGAATGAGCGGAGATGTAAGCAAGGCTAGGTATCTTTGGAGCACACAATTTTATCACTGTAGTGGAAAGGAGGTAAAATAAATTTAAAGAAGTGCTGGAGGCTGTGACAAAAATCATTGAAAAAAAAAGAGATTTTAGAAAGAGAGACAATAAGGGTCAACACAATGGCGTATAATATATAGACTACGCAGTCCCCTATTCTCGCTATAGAATCGAGTGTCCGAAAGATCTCGGCTCAAGGTTGAAGGTATGTTTATCAGAACAGCGGCGTGCTCATTTATATTTTAATGACAATAATTATTTTTTTAATTAAAATTAATATTTATGATTTCTTTTTGTTCCCATCTATAAGAGAAATAATTATTTTGATAAAATAGTATGGCATTTTACTAAAATAGTAAGTAAATAACTCTCAACAATTTAAAATAAAATTTGCTTGTCACACAAAATGGAGAAAATGTTTTCATACGTCCATGATGTTTTCAAACACAAGATCAACTTCGTGATGCTTCGTAAGAAATCATGAACTTCGTGTATCTTCGTATCAAAACAATAAACAATAACAAAGGTATTCATGTTTTGGACACTTTTTAAAGCGTTCACCGAGTCTATATATTATACGTCATTGGGTCAACATAAGTAACAGACAGAAAAGAAAGAAATAAAAGGGAAATGGAGGCTGTGCAAGCAAGAGAACGATCAAGAAAGACGCGCGTAAGCCGAGAGTAATTTTAGTAGGTAGGTAGGTGGTGTATAGGTAGATGTACTCAATATACTATGAATTCAATTCATGTCAGGTACGACTCACCTGGTATGGTCTTTAGAAAATTTCCACTCTCACACAAAAAAAAAATGTTTAGTTCCTGAGATATAACTGAACCAAGAGTTTTATGAATATACCAAAATATTTAATGGATATATGCTCGCCACTGATCAGTTTATATTTCTGACACGTTCCTAACTTATTCTTTGTCTTGTCTTGTGTTAATAAGGAATGTAACTAACTTTTTTTAGTATCATGTATAATATATTCTCTAAACTACCAAACTAAACTAATTATTTCTTTATCAACATTCCTCTATTATATTTCCTTTTTTTATCACCACTTTCATCAATTGGTAATGATCTAAGTAGTTGAAAACCTCAAAAATGATTAAACATTCTTAAAGTAATATTGTATAAATAAATTGTTAGTAAGGTCCATTCGCTCAGCTAGGCAAATTTTGACAGATTCATAGCTGGAAACCTACAACACAAAAATTCCTATTTCACACTATTAAAAGCTTAAATAAACATTTATTGCAGACTTTTTTCATTGAAAAAAGAAGAATTATTACAAATAGTGAAATTGTATAGTAATCCTAGACAAAATTACCAATATTGAAGTCCTTGATAGGGTTAATAAGAGGGAAGAAATTGTACAGACAATTAAGAGGCGGAAACTTGAATATTTCGGTCATATATTAAGAGGTCCTCGTTATGGGCTACTACGTTTGATTATAGAGGGCAAAATAAAAGGTAAAAGAGATGTAGGAAGAAGACGAACCTCCTGGCTACGAAATCTAAGGGAATGGTTTAGTCTGAGCTCTAGCCAACTATTTAGAGCTGCTGTAAGTAAAATAAGAATTGCCATGTTGATATCCAACCTTCGTTAGAAGATGGAACCTTAAGAAGAAGATAGTAATCCTATAAAATTTTGGGTAGTAGTATATATTTAAAAATATATTTCAGTTAAAACTTAACATATTCTAGTAAATATTTGTATTAATCACGCTGTTTATTTTATTAAATATAGGTAATAAAGTTGGTTGTAGCAGAGGCACAACAAAGAACACGAACACACTATGCTGTTCTCATGGGCGACTTCAACGCAAAACTCGGATTCAAACAAGACCAAGCGGAGATCGCATTAGGAAAGTACGGATACGGGGCAAGAAACGCACGAGGCGACATGCTTTTAAACTTTCTACATCATCAATGCATGTTTCAAATGAACTCTTTCTTTAAAAAGAAACCCCAAAACAAATGGACTTGGATAAGCCCTGATGGCGCCGTCAAATACGAAATCGACTTTATAATTACAGATAAAAAATATATAATACAAGACGTGGAAGTACTCAACAAGTTCTCTGTTGGCAGCGACCATAGGATGATAAGAACAAAAGTAATGCTTAACGTTAAAAAAGAAAGAATAAAGCTTGTTCCTAAACCAAATGTTAGAAGATGGGTACCACCTGAAAATGCAAAACTGTTTGAACATACGGTCGAAGAAAAATTACAAAACGAAGAAACAGAAAACATAAACATCGAACAACTAAACCAGAAAATAGTCAAAGCTCTGAAACAAGCACAAGAAAAATGTTGCCCAAAAAACCAAAAAGACGAAGAAAAACTAAGTCTAAGCACAAAAAATCTATTAGAGGAAAGAAGACAACTAACAGATAAATACAGAACCAATCTAACAAAAATGAGACAACTAAACAAACAAATCACTAAGAACATCAGAAAAGATATAAGAGACTACAACACCAGAGAGATATCAAAAGTCATAGAAGAGAACAAAAGTTTAAAAGTCTTCAGAAGAAAACAGCAAATAGGAAAGAAAAATATTTACAAACTGAAAAACACAAAGGGCGAAATAATAACAGATAAACAGGAAATTCTACAAACTGTCGGACAATTTTACAGCAAACTCCACAGTAAAACAGAAGAAAATGCTCCAACTGAAAACATACCAAAGGTTCTAAACCAGGGCTCGGAAGACATACCAAATGTTACTGTGGATGAAATCAAAAAAGCTCTCCTACAAATGAAAAATAATAAGTCACCTGGCGACGACGGGGTCGTTGCCGAAGCCATAAAATTAGGAGGCGAGAAACTGATACAAATGCTTTCCATACTTTTCACAGAATGCCTTGAAAGAGGAACAACACCATCACAATGGCAAAATGCAGTGATCATTCTAATGTTTAAGAAAGGAGATTTAACAAATCTCGTAAACTATAGACCAATCAGCCTCATCTCATACATATACAAGCTTTTTACAAAAGTCGTAACAAACAGACTTTCGAACAAAATGGACTTTTACCAATCATGCGAACAGGCAGGATTCAGGTCAGGCTTCGGCACAAACGACCATCTACAAGTTATTAAAAGCCTCATCGAAAAATGTATAGAGTACAATAAACCCCTCGTCCTAATATTTGTGGATTATGAGAAAGCATTCGACACAGTAAACCACCAGAAAATGCTAGAAGCTTTAAAAGAGTGCCGAATAGATCACCGCTACACCACTGTCATCAAAAATATCTATGATAATGCCACGGCATGCGTCAGACTCCATGAAGATACACACAAGTTCAACATTCTACGTGGAGTTCGCCAGGGCGACACCATTTCACCAAAACTGTTTACAACATTATTGGAATACATGTGTAAGCGTGCAAACCTAGACGAAAAGGGCATAAACATAAATGGAGAGCAGCTTAGTCACCTCAGGTTCGCGGACGATATAGTCCTGATAACAGACCGCATAGATCATGCCATCGAAATGTGCGAAAGACTCTACCATGCCTCTACACAAGTGGGTTTAAAGATCAATAACTCAAAAACACAAGTGATGACAAACCTTGTTCTGAGTGAGAACATCAACATAGCTGGAACAAGTATAGAACAAACATCAGCATACAAATACCTGGGACACGAAATTCGCTTAAGTAGAGATAACTAGACCAATGAACTAATACGTAGAATAGGGTTGACATGGGCAGCTTATGGAAAGCTAAGAGATGTTTTCCAATCAGCTCTTCCCATCTGCTTGAAGAGAAAAGTCTTCGATCAATGTGTGCTGCCGGTTCTAACCTATGGTGCGGAGACGCTAACACTTACTAAGACGTCCGCAAACAAAATTCGAACAACACAGAGGGCAACGGAACGGTCCATGTTGGGATTAACCCTGAGAGACCGAATACCCAACACAGAATTGCGCCGTAGATCGGGAGTAACCGACGCAATCAAAAGAATATCAACCTTAAAATGGAACTGGGCAGGGCACGTCGCGAGAACGAAGGACGGCAGATGGACAAAACGCATTCTTGAGTGGAGACCCAGACAAGATGCCTTTAGGAATAGAGGACGACCACCAACAAGATGGACGGATGACCTGAAACGGACACATCAAAATTGGATGCAGGCGGCTCAGGACAGAAATTTGTGGGGTGAACTACGGGAGGCCTATGTTCAGCAGTGGACGAGTATGGGCTGAATGATGATGATGATGAATAAAGTTGGTAATTCATAAAGTTCTATTTTATTTACGTTTGTTTACGTGCTACAAGCGCGTATGCTTGGTTGTATAGTAATTTCCAGCCATTTCTAATCTGTCAAAAATTAACTAAGTAACTTAGGAAAAAATAATCACTAAATTCACTAGACAGTTCGGACTGGGATGAGCGAACAGACTATAGTTATATTTTTACAAAATTGCGATAAAAAAACCCTGAAATTGTGTTTCCCTAACGTTTACCCGCAAAAACCTTACAGTTAAGTAAATCGGTGGTAGATCTTCATGTTTCATGTGGTTTTTAGCTGCTTCCTGTAGAATTTCTTCCAAAATTTTAATAAATATATCAATCATGTCATAAACTTTGTTCCTAGCTTCGGGGCACAAGGCTGTAATTAAAAATACTAGTCGTATATCCATAAATCTTATGTCCTCTGATATATTTTTGTTCCTAAAAATGTTATGTATAATTAATACAAAATCATAATTGAAGTAAAACATTTAAAACAAATAATATACAAAATATACCATAAAATGGAATAATCGAATCAAAATATATTTTTATTATTTCTTTTGAGTATTGCTCCCGAAATACTTACTTATGTTTTATTCTATTGGTCAACCCCTCCAATATTCCATTTTCTAAAGACTTTTCAGCAATTTTCTTAGAATTAAAAAGTATATTTGACAGACTCTTTAGCACCTCTACGCAAATTAAAGATTTGTTATCATTATATTCAAAGTTTTCATTGTCCAATCCAGAATGGTGTTTGATTAAATTGATCCAATCATCACTGATAACTTCACTTAGATGTTCCTTTTCACGGCTACAAAATGAAATTGTTGATATTTTCCAAAAAGTCATTACAAAATATTTTACCTTAAGATTCTTACTGCTATAAAACAATTTTTTGTAACAGCTGGATCATCAGAATGTTTGGCAATATTGTATACAGCATTCCATACATTTTTTCTTTTTTCATCATTAGTCAACTCAGGAAAACTGAATACTTCTAAAGACTACAAAAAAAAATAATATTTATCCATTTCTGTGAAGTGAGTACACTGGTATGCTTTATTATATATCCTTAAACTGAATCTGGGCAACTGCTCTTTAGTTTAAAAACACAACTCCATAGTCTAGTTTCAACAGTAAAATATATGCGTCACAGTGGGTACCTATTTTGGAAATAACTTTGATTTTAAACACATGTATCACTGACATGCTCAAAAAGGACAAGAACAGTAGATGAAATTGTAGAGCGGATAAAGCACTTCGGGTCAAATGCGAGACAAAATCTACACAATATGTCATCGGTATAAATTATATCAACTACTGAACCTAACCTTAACGAGAAACTTGGAAGGAAAAAGGACGAACAAGAAGTAGCAATCGGAGATTTTGGAATCGGAGTAAGAAACGAAAGAGGCGAAATGCTTACCAACTTTCTACTGCAACACAAACTGTATGCAATGAACACCTTTTTTAAGAAGAAACAGAATAGAAAATGGACGTGGGCTAGTCCAGACGGAAGAACTAAGAGCGAATATGATTATATAATAACAGACAAAAAGCAAATTATTCAAGATGTCACTGTACTCAATAAACTATCAGTAGGAAGCGACCACAGACCAGTAAGAGCTAGAGTAACGATAAATCTACAAAAAGAAAGAGCAAAGATGATAAACAGTTGCAAACGCATAGTTTGGAATTCACCAAATCATCCAGAAGCATACATAAAAAATATAGCCGAAACTTTACAGAGTAATAATCCCAAATCTCTAAGTATCGACGATCACAATAAATTAATAACAGACTCTGTTAGGAATGCACAACTCAAATTTTGCAAAAAAAATGACACCAAAAGTGAAATGATTAGCAAAAATGGAAATATGACGAAACCTAAGCGAGAACGAAAAGGGAAACAAAGAAGAATATAAAAAACTAAATAAAAGAATTTCAGCGGAAATTAGAAAAGATGTAAGAAGATATAATACTAATGTAATTACTCAAACAGTAGAGGAGAAGCAAGGTTTAAAGATAATGAAAAGAAAACTCACACAAAGTAAAAAAGAAATATACAAGCTGAGAGATAAAGACGGAAAGGCAACAACAGATAAACAAAACATTCTGAAAATAACCAGAGAGTTTTATAAAGACCTCTATACCAGCCAAAGACCACAAGACAATTTCCCGACACGAGTAAAGACTCTCATAAATCAGGGATCGAAAATACTTTTGCCCATTACTGTGTCAGAAGTAAGAGCAGCTTTAAAGGAAATGAAGAACCATCGATCCCCTGGTGATGATGGACTCGTTATCGAGGCAATAAAAGCAGGTGGAGAAATTTTATTAAAATCAGTAAGCGAACTGTTTAATAAATGCTTACATGCGCGTACGATTCCAAAAGACTGGAACAATGCAGTAATAGTCTTGTTACACAAAAAAGGCGATATTACTAAATTAGAAAATTATAGACCCATCAGCCTCTTAACACATATGTACAAACTCTTTATGAAAATCTTAACAAATAGGCTAACACCTAAACTTGATTTGTATCAGCCCAAAGAACAGGCAGGCTTCAGGGCAGGATATGGCACAAATGACCATTTGCATACCATAAAGATCTTAATAGAAAAGTGCATCGAGTACAAGATACCACTGGTTCTTGCAGTTGTCGATTACGAGAAGGCTTTTGATTCTGTAGAGTTTGGAACAATACATTAAGCCCTAAATCAAAGCCGAATAGATTACAGGTACACGACACTAATCAAAAACATCTACGAGAACGCTACATCAAGTATACGACTACACGAAGACACGGAAAAATTCAGCTTAGGTCGAGGAGTTAGATAAGAAGACAATATTTCACCAAAATTGTTCACGGCAGCTCTAGAGATGGAGAAAGATTAAATCACCTAAGATTTGCAGATTATGTTGTATTAATCGCAGATAATTTACAAGATACAGTTTCTATGATGCATTCGCTTAAAAGTCTGTCTGAAAGAGCAGGATTAAAGATAAACTTTGAGAAAACTAAACTTATAACAAATGTCGTAATGAGTGGAAATATAACTATTGACAATAATACCATACAACAAACAGACACTTACAACTATCTGGGACACGAAATCATAATAAGCAGAGACAATCAAACACATGAAATACAGAGGCGAATAGGCCTAACTTGGGCAGCATTTGGCAAATTAAGCCATATTCTAAAAAGTTCAATTCCCATGTGTCTCAAGCGAAAGGTTTATAACCAATGTGTCTTACCTGTACAAACTTATGGAGCAGAGACTTTAACACTCACGCAAAAATCTGCGAATAAACTCAGAGTTACACAACAAGCCATGGAACGTGCAATGCTGAACGTGAGCCTTCGAGACCACATAACAAACCAAGAAATAAACCAGTAAAATTAAAATTAGGGACAAATTATATAGGGGGTTTACAACTTCTAACATAAGTGATAGAAATGCCACATGGGAGGGTTTTAAAAGGGCAAGCAATGTGGTAGTTAATATGTTAAAAGCAAAAATGAACAATAACACAGTTTTCACGAATTTAGGTTACTATCACATAGTGACTTGGCAGTCATGGTAAAGTTGTTAGATAATAAGAGTAACATTAATGAAATACTAAACTCCAAAATGTTAAAAGTGTTTTTTGTAACTTGTAGTCACATTATCTTAAATACTTCTCTTAGATCATGAATAAAAGATTCCAGATTTATTAAAAATCAGTACAATATTGTTCAATACCGAAAATAATAATACTACTAAGACGGATGAATTTAGACCTATTAATATACTTCCGCCCATTGAAAAATTATTAGAGTTGATAATATATGATGAAGTTATGGATCACATTGATAAAAATAAAATCTTAATGAACAAGGTTTTCGTAAAATTTTCCTGCGAGACTGCACTGCAACTTTTACTTTGTAAATTCAGGTCTGAATTGGTTCAAAGATAATTATGGGTGGTGGTATTCCTTGATTTAAACATAGTTTTTGGAACTATTGATGTAATCTTCTTACTAAATTAGAAGGCTATAGTGTTGAAGGAAATGTTCTTGTATGGTTTAAAGATTACTTATTGGAGAGAAAGCAACAAGTGGGGATTATTGATATCACTCATTACTATTACTGGGGTACCTCTTACGACCCTTTTTGTTCATATTGTATTTAAATAATATAAACTTATTCGTTAAATGTGATTTCTTTATTTGTATGCAGATGATACCCTACTTTAACGTTTTGATTCAAACTTAAAAAATATTGTATTTAGGTACAATGAATTAGTCTGTTAATAAATATTTAAAGATCCACAAACTAAAGTTAGATGTTTTAAAGACAAAGGTTATGATAATAACAACTAATATAGGTAAACACTATAAGAATAATTTATTGTCTTTTAATGACCATTTTAATTATAAATTAAAAATAATTTCTAAAAAATTATACTTTTTTTCAAGAATATCTAAAAATTTGTCAACTTCAACTAAAATTACAGTTTTTAATGTAATTATTCAACCTCACTTCAATGTTTGCTGATCAGTTATTTTTCTCTTTAATTTAAATGAATCAGCCCTGTTGCAAAAATTACAAAAATTATTAATGAATAATATTTAAATTATTAAATTTTAAATAATTTGGCTCCTGCTATTTTTGTGTGCTAAACTTACAGCTGTTGCTCCCTACTTACTAAAGGAAGGACAGAAGCACATAAGATCCTCCCTCCTCCTCAGTCCTAATCCCTTTTGGGATGTGGTGACACCATCAGGCCTTCACAGTTTTTTAGGATGTCCCTCCATACTTCTCTGTTATGGGCTAGTTGTTCGACAAGATCACATATTCATAATAAGACAAGTAAGTGAGAAAGTAATCAATAAAAATAGAGAAAGTGTGTTACTTAATTATAATTTACACATTGTCAAACCAAAAAGGACGGCTTCAAGAAACTCTTTGTTGTTTAAGGGTTTTGATCTTTTTAATAAGCTTCCTCAAAACTAAAAGTGGCTCATCTGTACAAATGTTTAAAACTAAATTAATGGACCATTTAAACATAAAAAAGTACACAAATACACGAGAGTACAAGAAAGCAGAAATGAAAAATCAATCATAGATTACTTTTTGGTAAGTAGCAACACATGGAAAAGAGCACAAGACACGAAAGTGAAAAGAGGCTCAGAGATTGGCAGTGATCATCATCTAGTAATAATGAGAATGAGAACAGCAAAAGAAAAAATAATGAGAATGAGAACAGCAAAAGAAAAGGAAGAAAAGAGGAGAAAGGTAGTAAATGAAAAAGTAAAAAGCTACAAATTAAAACAACAAAGATATAAGAAGATATTCCAAGAAAAATTAGGCAATATTTTGAAAGGTAGGGCAAAAACTGCAAGTATACAAGAAAAGTGGGAAAATCTCAAGACCAACTTAATCATAGCTGCCGAGGAAACTTGCGGAAAGAGAAAAATAGCAAATACTAGCAGGAAGAGAACTGAATGGTGGATGGACGAAACACAAGGGAAAATAAAGAACAAAAAAGAAAAATGGAAAAGATATCTAAGTACAAAGCGTCCTGAAGACTATGAGGCATATAAAGAAAAAAGAAAAGAGGTTAAAATAGTTGTGAAAGCAGAAAAAGAAAGGTCATGGGAAAAGTTTGGACTAAAAATGACAAATAATTATAGGGAAAATCAAAAACTCTTCTATGGCGCATTAAAACAGCTCAGACAAAAGAAAGAACACATGATGCCGAATATAAAAGACAAGAATGGAAAGGTAATAACAGAAGAAAACCAAATAATGGAGAGATGGAGAGAACATTTCAAAGAGCTCAGATCTCATACAGACATAGACAGCATAGTGGAGATACAAGAAATAAATGAAGAACAAAAAGTAGAACCCATAACAACAGAGGAACTAGAAAAGGCAATTGAAAGAGTTAAATTAGGCAAAGTACCAGGCAAGATACTTGGTATGAGAACATTCCTCTCATAAAGTTAAATGAATGGGAAGAATATTATACGAAACTGCTGAAAGAGGATAGAGTAAAGTTCAGATGGGACAAGATAAGGGAATTAATAGATAACAGAGGCGAAAGACAGGAAATCCCTATAATAACATTATCTGAATTGACAGAAACCTTAAAAGAGGTTAAAAACGGAAAAGCCGCAGGGACTGGAGACATTCCCACAGAGCTGGTTAAATATGGGCCGACTGCACTTTTAGAATTAATAGTAGACCTTTTTAATAAATGTATGTGTTGAGACCAGGAAATTCCTAAAGATTGGAATAAATCTTATATAAGCTCCATATATAAGAGAGGGAATAAAAGAGACTGTTCCAATTATAGAGGTATTAGTGTGACGAGCTCTGTGGGCCGGTTGTACGGCAGAATATTAAAGAAGAGGGTTGAAAGACAGATACAAGATATTGAAGAACAAAGCGGCTTTCGTACCGGGAGATCCTGCCTTGATAATATATTTATCCTACGACAAATAATTAAAAAGTGTATCGAAAGAAGTAGAGAGACCCATTTGGTATTTATAGACCTTGAGAATGCATATGATAGTGTCCTGTTAAAGAAAATGTTTAAGGTCCTCGAAAGGTCCGGATTGGATTCGACGTATATCAGAGAGATATATAAATTGTACGAAAATGCAGTTAGTTGTGTAAAAATTGGAACCAGAACTTCAAATATATTTAAAGTCACTAAAGGCCTAAAGCAAGGATGCTGTTTGTCACCGACACTCTTTAAAATATACGTCCAAGAAGCATTGAGGAATTGGAGAAATAAATGTAGATTTATAGGCATCGAAGTGGGACAAGAAACTCTGTATACATTGTTGTTTGCAGATGATCAGGTGGTGGTTGCAACCCATGAGGAAGATATAAATTATATGAATCGAAAATTATTTGAGGAATATGCCAAATGGGGGCTTACTGTAAACATAAGCAAAACAGAATATTTAAAAATAGGAGGAAATACCACAGATCTGAGGCTTGAAAACGCAGTCATAAAAGGTTGCACCCAGTATAAATAGAGTTAAGATAGATGTACAAAACCGAATAACCCAAGGGAAAAAATGCATCCGAATACTGAATTCATTACTGTGGTCTAATAAAATAAAGATGCATACCAAACTTCGTGTATACAGAGCAATTGTAGAACTAATTACCACATATGGTGCCGAATGTTGGATGATGACAAAGAATAAACGAGATAAAGTAGATGTTGTGGAAATGGATTATCTTAGAATGTCATGTCAAGTATCGAGAATGGAAAGAATCAGGAATGAGGAAATACGAAACAGTACAGGATTTAGAGATACTCTTTCAGATAGAATACAAGGAAGGCAATTACAATGGTATGGTCACGTGATGAGAATGGAGGAGGAGCGGTGGCCAAAGAAAGCCTTAATGTATGTTCCGCCAGAAAAAAGGAAAAGGGGAAACCACCAAATTCCCGGAGAAGAGAAATTACAAAAACAATGCAATGTAGAGGCTTAGAAGAGGGAGATTGGAGAGATAGGAAAAGATGGAGGCTGAAATTCGGGAAGCGGCAATCGCTGTAGGACCCCCGTTTTATGATAATGATGACCAGGCAAGGATAATATCACCCCGGAAATGATAAAATTCATGGGAATAGAGGGAGTGGACAGTATGAAAGAACTAACGAATGATATCACAAAGACAGCAGAAATACCACAGGACTGGAAGAAAGACATTATACTACCAATACACAAAAAGGGCGACAAGAGTAACTGTAATAATTAACGAGATATTACTGTATCAAGTATTCCTGGTAAGGTATTCTTAAGAATAATGGAAACAAGAATAAAAATCCAAATAGAACCAACTATTGAAGATACACAATGTGGATTCAGGAAGGACAGAAGCACGCAGTGAGAAAGTAATCAATAAAAATAGAGAAATACATATATGCTATATTGATCTGGAAAAGGCGTTTGACAGAATCAAAAGAAAGGACATATGGAGGACAAAGGAAAGAGGAGTTGACAAGATAACAATTGATGTAATAAAGGATATGTACAATAATAATACAAATACAGTTGTTTTTTATTCACGTTTTTATGGATATTGTTTTGTATGATTTATATTTTTAATAACTGTAGGTACTATACTTTAAGTGTAATTGTTATTTTTCTCTTACACTCATATACAAAAATATCGAATATTTTGTAATTTTCAAATTTAAAAATGAATGAGACTAAATGCTCAATAAATCTCACATAAATAAATAAATTCAAAATACTTCAATCCAGTTGAGTACATCAAACAACTGTATGAGTAACAGTAATCTAAAATTATTTAGAAATATATTACGTTTATATTGTTCTGAAGCTATTTTCTTGTGGCATTTCAAAGACTACAAAAAAAATTGGAATATTACAAAATATTCAATATTTTTGTCCAGGAGTGTTTTATGTATTAATATCATAAATTGACTATTTTTGTATATATTAGGGCGTTCTCTCTTTTTGGATACATAGACTTCTTCTTTAGTATTGATCTGAGACAGACCCGTTTTTTTTAGTGGCTAAGTATTGATTAGTCACTTTCTGTTCCTCGCCGGACTGAGTGTTAATCAGCCTGTTCCATCTCTATTCCTCTAACCCATCCTTTCCTTCTATAACATTAATTGTATTTTATTTTCGTAGATATTAAAGAGTGGGTCACTGAGCCATGCATCTATGTCATAGATGCAGGATTGGCAGTTTATTTTTATTGGTTTGAATATAACTTTATTTTGTTATTTATTTGTTCCAAATGTATTTTTAACCTATGTTTTACTGAGTCTCTTGTCTAAAAGAGCTACCTGTCACAGCATACCACTGTCTCAGGCTTCTAAGCTATGATTTTCTTCACGTTATTCTTAGCGACTCAATGGTTTTTGTGATTCCTTATAATTCCTCATTCTAATTAACACAGTTGCATTACATACTTTGCATATCCAACTAATACGCAATATTCACCTATAATAGGACATTATGAGATTTTTAAGTTTTTAAAGCATGGCATCTCTTGTTGTTCATCCTTCTGCTCTGTAGAGCTACATGGAAATACAGCAAATTTTTCTTATTTGTCTTGGCAAAATTTCCCCTACAATTATCACCATTAAAAAATACTTTCATTGTCAGATAACAATGCATTTCAAAGGCTTTCTTGTTATGACAAACCATAAATATTACGCAACTGTAACATAACTACGCATTCCTTATGAGTAACATGACTCAGAGATGCCACAAGTGAGTTGACTTAAAAATATGGGATACACTTTATGGAAAACGTGACCACAGATTGCACATTTGCTAACGATTTGGATAAAAACAACTCAAAGCGTTAATAGAAAATAAAACAAAAGAGCTGATTAACAAATAAACACCTTAAGCTTTTTTTTAAATATATTCATCCTTTATTAAATATTGTAATAGCAAAGTCAATTAATATAAAGATAACGAAACATAGTAACATTTGATTGAAAGCATATTTGTAACACATATATTCGTATGAATTGCATAAAACATTTATTGATTTATTTAAACAATAGTTAATCTTACCGTTTTTACAAAGCTATCAATTACTGTAGCCCAAGTGTCTTTTTCAGCTAATATGATAGCATCAATGTCCGAAGTCCTGTTAGCCATTTTGATAATTCCACTATGCACTATTATTAACAATAAAACTTTCTAAACTAATTACTTATCTTCCCGACAAACGATTTTTGGAATTACCTAATTTGGAAAACGTAAATAAACATTTTCCAAACAGTCAAACACAAATCTGTTGATATATTTGACATAATGACATAGGACTATTGACATTGACATTGTCACTATTTTCAGTTGTTCATTGTTCACAAAATGACTGAACTGGTTGTTCATTTCCATAATTGAGATGTTCTAGAATGCCCTTGCGTTAATTACTAAAATAATAAGTTTTATTCTACGATGGCAGAAGCACAGAATAATAAACAATAGAATGTCCACTCTGCTTAAAAAAAAGTACGTGAATCTCGTTCGCGCAGACGGAATCAGCCATGTTTTAAACGGAACCAGTGCTGTTCAGTGACATTTTATCTGGTGTGCATAGAAAGATTAACCCGGTTTAATTTATTTACGGCAACTACAGACATAATATGCACTATTTTATTCGTACTTTTAGTTGAACAATGGATTAAATCATTTCAAATTTACTAAATTGTTAAACTCTAAAAAATTTAAATCACAGATCTGTCGTAGCTTGTCACAAAGTTCTCAATTCGAGTCTGTTTCCGTCTAAAACATGGCGTTCGCCTGCTGACAAACTTCAAAGGCGGCATCTGAGAGTGGGCATTCTGATTGTTTATTATTTTGTGCCTTAGTTGAGTTTACCCAGAGATTGTAAGAGAGTTACATATCTCTCTCTTACATATCCTGAGTTTACCCAATGACGAAAGTACAAGCTAAATATAGCCGCAAATGTCAACCATGAAATCAAATATTTTGGTTTGGCAGTGTTGGGTGTTCTTTGCATAATATGTTGTTTGCTTCAAATATAAAAAGAGAAAACTTTTAAAAAGTACATTTTGATCATACTATTTTATGAATTCTGCAATTTTTAATTTATATGAAACAATAACGTGTACACATTTGTCTCTTTCAAGATGCATAATTGCAAACATCTGTTGCAATCTGGCAACTGCTGATTTGACGATTAAGAAAACTTTCCTCTAATCTATCAAATGGCAATTGCCAAAAATATTTTTAATAATTAACTAGCAATTAATTTCCAAAGAAACAAATATTAACTCATTCTGGTTGAGTTTATCGAAAGTACAAGCTGAGTATAGCCGCAAATGTCAAAAATATTTGGGTTTGGCCAGTGTTGGGATGTTTTTATAATGCATATATTATATTCTTCAAATACAAAGAGAGAAAGCTTTTAAAAAGTACATTTTGATTATACTATTTTATGAATTCTGCAATTTTTAATTTATACGAAGCAATAACGAATAAATATTTGTCTCTTTCGAGATTAATTGCAAACATCTGTTGCAATCTGGCAACTGCTGATTTGACGATTGCCAAATCTATCCCCTAATCTATCAAAGGGTAATTCCCAAAATAATTTCTAATAATTAACTGCAATTAATCTCCAAAAGAAAAACAAATATTTACTCATTCTTGTTTTATATAAATCAAACATTGCAGAATTTATAACATAATATGAACAAAATGTTCTTTTCTAAAGCTTAATCTTTTTATATTTGAAGCATACAGCATCTACATTATAAAACATGCCAACACTGCTACACCGAAATTTTTGTTCCATGTTTGACATTTGCAGCTATTATCAGGTTGTACTTTCGGTAAACTCAACCCTAATTCTTGTTTTAAGGCCGTATGACACTATGCATTTTTTGTATCATTTCTTATATCGTTTCTGATATAGAAAGTTATTTATGTTTTCTTGTATCGTTTCTTGTACGTACATTTTTGCCCTGTATGACACTATGCAAGTTCTTTTACCAGAAACTGTATGTGATTTGGCACATGATTGGTCGAAATTTTGACACCTATAAAAATAGAACTGCAGTACCTGAGGCACCGAACAAGGGCCTGAGGACCCCAAGCTACTGGGGACTGAGAACATATGCTACTGATTATTTTTAAAAATACTGTGGTGCAAAAATGAAAGAAATAAAATGTCCCAATATGAAAACTAAATTGGAAACCACAATTTTTGAAGATATTCAACAGGTTGTAATGGAAGACAGAAATAATAAATAATTTGGTTGTAATAATTTATTTGTTTTTTTTTTAAATTATGTGTTTGAATGGTATGCTCTTGAAACTCTACTCTCTTATTTGGAGATATAAAATAATCTTTAAACTCATCACGAATTTTTAGTGCGGTTATGTATTGTTTTTAGTAAAACATCTCCTCCTACTTTCAGTAGTTCCGATGCTATTTGATACAATCACTGTGATTTATTGTTTTTCAATATGGCTACTGATGTTCTAATCTTGGTTATTGTTGGTGGGCACTTTTCTCTGATGTCTGCTTGGCCTAATTGTATGTATACATCAGAGATACTTACATATCTCTGGTATATATCAAAGTTCTCCTCCAGCCATAGAGAAATAAAAATAATAATTATTTTTATTTCTCTATGCCTCCATCCGCCAATATGACATGAAAGAAGTTTTACGTTTTAGCGGCTTTGCGCACAAATTGGCGCATTTCTTGTACAAGAAAATGCAGCGGACACAAATTCTTGTATCGTTTCTGATATAAGAAACTATACGCCTGTATGACACTATCCATTTTTTTGTTATATCAGAAACGATATAAGAAATGATACAAGAAAATGCATAGTGTCATACGGCCTTTATATAAATAAAAAATTCCAGAATTCATAACATATTATAATCAAAATGTACTTTTCTAAAGCTTTATCTCTTTATATTTGAAGCATACATCATATACATTATAAAAACATGCCAACACTGCCAAACCGAAATTTTTTATTCCATGTTTGACATTTGCGGCTATGTTCAGCTTATACTTTTGGTAAACTCAACTAAAGCATGTATTTCTTTATAACAATGTTATTTCTTTGTTAAATAATAAATATTTTTTTAAAAATTTATAAATCAAGTATGTATATTACATAATATATTATATTATAAATCTGTCTGTACGAAAAACATGGCGGTTGATGAAAAGTCCTATTTGCACATTTCTCATACATTTTTTCACTGTACCACAGAATAATAAACAACCAGAATGCCCACTTCTAGATGCCGCCTTTGAAGTTTGTCAGCAGGCGAACGCCATGTTTTAGACGAAAACATAGACTCGAAATTGAGAAATTTGTGACAAGCTACGACAGAAATGTAATTTAAATTTTTAGAGATTAATAATTTAGTACATTTGAGATTAATAATTTAGTACATCTAGTCTTCAACTAAAATTACGAATAAAATAGTGCATATTATGTCTGTAGTTGCCGTAAATGAATTAATCGGGTTAATTTGTCTATGTACACCAGATAAAATGTCAATGAACAACACTGGTTCCGACTAAAACATGGCTTATTCCGTCTGAGCGAACGAGATGCGCATACTTATTTTTTAAAGCAGAGTGGGCATTTTGATTGTGTGTTGTTCTGTGACTGTACCTGCACAGCGTTCCTACTTTCACAGAATAGCAAATTTTAGAAAGACATTCAAAATTTCAATTGTCAGATGTCAGACGTAGTCTCAAAATAAATTTTTGATCTGTCACTGAAAATTTTACACATTGGATTTTTAGTTATTTAAATATTTCAAATTTAGCACAAAGAAATGGCTTCTGCTATGGATGTTGATGCCGAAGAAGTAGAATTGCCCACTTCGAGTAGCTCAAAAGGAGAAAAGAAACGTTTTGAAGTAAAAAAGGTAAATGCTTTGTAATTTAACCTTCTACTTTAAGTTATTTTTTAAAATTAACGTATAATAGTACTTAGTTTTAAATAAAACAGTACACAAAATGTGTTAATCTTATTGTCTATTTTTTCTTCTTATTTAATATAGCCTTTTTGTTTCAGTGGAATGCTGTAGCTTTGTGGGCCTGGGGTAAGTTATGTTACACATACAAGGAATGATAATTCTATATTAAGGTTTACTCCATTAGGCGAAACACTAAATTTTACAGATGAAACTGTCGATAAGTAATATGAGAATATACTTAGTGTATCCTGAATTAAAGTCTACACCTATGGAATATACTAATTCTTGTCCCAACAATAGTTTGTATGTAGTTCAAAATGTTTATAACATTTACAAAACATAATCTGACATAATTAAGAAAAATTGCAAAGTCTGAACCTAACAATAAAGCAATTTTTCTGATTAATAATACATATATAAACTTTATGTTGTTTGCTTTTGTACTTTTGATAACATAAATATGTTGCACCTATATTGTTCTGTATTTCTGCTAATTTTATTATAGCTTAATCTTACCTGTATCTTTTTAGACATTGTAGTGGATAACTGTGCCATTTGCAGAAATCATATTATGGATCTATGTATTGAATGCCAGGCAAACCAGGCGTCAGCCACCAGTGAAGAATGTACTGTAGCTTGGGGTGTTTGTAATGTAAGTGTTCTCTATGTCCTCTTTTTTCATCAGATAAGTATTTGAATATAAACTTTGACATTCAAAATTTCCAATACTTTTCAGCATGCCTTTCACTTCCACTGCATATCTAGATGGTTAAAAACTAGACAAGTATGTCCTTTAGATAATAGAGAATGGGAGTTTCAGAAGTAAGTTTTCATTTTTTTAAAGTTATTTTGTTTACTTATTGTTTGAATGTTTTATTTGCATTGCTTAGATTCCACATTTAGTATCTGTTTGTATGGGATGTTCAGAAATTTATTTCTTATAAAATAACTGCAAATTCTTAGTATATTATTTAACCCTACAATGCGCAATTTATATATATATATATATATATATATATAATATATAATATATATATATATATATATATATATATATATTTAATATAAAATTAATATTTCTTGGGTTAGGTTCAATAAAGATATATTACATGTGGAACTAGATTTTATTTTCCATTGCAATTAATCAACGTTTCGGCAGGAAACCCTTGCCTTTGTCAAGATTCAAAACGTAAAACGTGACACAGACATTAAACGAACTGTCGTCAGTTCGTTTAATGTCTGTGTCACGTTTTACGTTTTGAATCTTGACAAAGGCAAGGGTTTCCTGCCGAAACGTTGATTAATTGCAATGGAAAATAAAATCTAGTTCCACATGTAATATATCTTTATTGAACCTAACCCAAGAAATATTAATTTTATATTAAATATAATATGGTTCAAAGAAACTCAAAACTACTATATATATATATATATATCATCACTTCGGATTTAGAAAAACCATTAGTAGAAGTCGTTACAGTATCCGTTTGATTGATTATGTTCGACATCAGATACCATAATCTTCATTTCATTGGTGCCTCGCTGATTTAAATATTTATCCAACAGATCCGCAGAAATAGGTGCAGCTATATTTGTAGATTGTCCAGTTTCATCTTCGTCGTCACTAAAATCATCTAATTCATCTTCACTGCCACTGGGTATGTTTACTAGTAAATCAAGTAAACCGTCGTTGTCTAATTCATCCCACCGAATTGTTTTATGTCCATCTTTATATAAAAGAGACATCTGCAACAAAAAATGATAATATCAATGAAACTATCATTTTTGCGAACATATTATAAAATGTTACAACTCTTATATTTTTTTGTGCAATTATGCATCCGAAAGCGCAGTGATTCAAATATGAATTGACTGTTATTTTTCCAATTTCAAAATAAGTAAATATATTTTTCAATTATTATATCAACTAACATTCTTGTATTAAATTTACAAATAGCTCAATAATTTTTTTTGTACTCACCCTGGTAATAATTAACAAGTTATTAGCAAAATAAAACACCACAAAAGCACAAATAGTGTAACCACATGGACGAATCTGTTTACACTGAATAACTAAGATTATTGTGCAGCCCACGATATCCTAGATCTGTTTGCCAGATGGACGGGTAGTACATAATTGAATCAAGTCGTTTTCTAAGCTTAAAATTTATTAGAGGGTACCGTGGAAGCGAAAAACCAGGGTGATGCAAATATGCATAGCTGCGCATTGTAGGGTTAAAGTATTATGAGCTAATAAATCTGGCTACAATACAGTGCTAATCTTCATTTTGTTAATACAAATTACCATTAAAATAATTAGAGTTATTTATGAGACAAACCAGTTTGAAGAACTTTTGGATGTGTAAGTTATTTGTGCAGTTATAGGTGTCACACTGCTATACATGATATCTTTAGTTGTAAATATTTGCTTGCTTATCTTATATTATGCTATCTTATTACCTTTTTGTTTAAATATTTTTAGATATGCTAAATGTCAAATCTATTTTGATTTTGTTTTAATGAAGAGAATAGTTTTTCTGGTATAGATTTTTCTTCTGTATCAATGTACCACTCATAAAACATTTGAGAAAAATAATCTTATTTTTCTTTTCAGGTATGGACATTAGTGCTTTAGTTTTGGTTTTGCATCAAATTAAAAGGAAGACCTATTTATAATTTAATGGTATTAACAATTAATAATACAATATTTTGTCAATATTTCATTTTCTTTCGAATTAAACAGTTTCTTAGTATTTTAAGGTAGTTTTATTATTTGTTGATTATGAAATAAAGGGATTATGGTTAACCTCACAGGCTTTTTTCAATGCAGTATTTCTGTCTAATATGTGTATTAGATAGTGACAAAACAATTGTATGATAATTTCTCAGAAAACCAGCATATTGTATCATCCAAATAAAAGCAGAAAGCATCCCCTTCAGAAAGCATATTTATGTACAGATATTTTGTTGCTGTTTAATTACACCCAGTCATAATTGCATAATGTTAATAGTTAAACTGGGAACTGTCATTCCGTGAGCAAACAGTATATTAATGCTGTCTAGCATCAAAATTTTCAATCATTTCTGTAGTTATCTAGACAGACATGGCAACTTAAATGTGGGAAAATTTATTTCACTTATACACTCATAAAATAATTTTAGATTACTTATATAGTAGGCTGATGTACTCAATTGGCTTAAAATATTTTGACATTTATTCATCATTTAGTGTCATTCGTCTTTACATTTTATCATAAAACACCTTTGCCTAAATGAAAAATCATAGTAATTCGTTTATATTTAGTTTAATTTATTAAGTTTAATTAAATACTGTTTTCATTTAACTAAGCTTAAAACAAGTATGCTACCGATTCGACACTGCGATGAAGCCTTGATTGTTGATTCATTCGTTTGCACTGAGAAATGTCATGTTTTCTGCTTTTTAACAAGTAATTTTTCAATAACTTCACTCATTTCGTCTATTCTTCTGCTAAGGGTATTTTTACTGAGTGGTATAGCTTTTATATGTTTTTCAAGAACCATTTTAAGAAATACTGATATTGACGGTTTTATTAAATTCTCTCCTATACTTCTTAGTATGAGTTTTAGCGATGAATAAAGAAATTTTATAACAAGCCTCAAAAACACGATTATTAGTTAAAGTATTAGCAGTAAATGGAGACTTATGTTGTTCTCTTTTCAACATTTTTCTTTAAAGTAGGTCATTCAAATATGGATTAATATAAATTTGTTAAAAAATTATGCTTCTAGAATTAAATAAATAAAAATAAAATCAAATACTTACCAATTATATCAATATAATGTATATATTTATTAAATCAACGAACTTTTACAACAGTTTAGAGTGATACTTTATTTCAAATTAACACCAACTTATAGAAGTTGTGACGGGCCATTCAGGTGCGAAAAACTGCGTTGTTTAGCGAGATTTTAAAATGTTCGAGGTTAAATTGACGACGCCAAACACCTTGTTGTCCCGGGGCGAAAGGGTTAGACTTGTGTCGAGTCCATTTTCGAATAGCCCCTCTTAACAATCAAATTGTCCCACGTTGGGAATCACGACGGCTCTAGAGGAAAAATCGCTTGCTATCGTTTTGATATAAAAATTTCGGAACCAAGAAAACCTAAAGTTACTTGAAGGTTGGACGATAATCTTGATAAGGCGTTTGTAATTAAGGATAAAAAAGAGGAATCAAAATTATTTGTTTTTTATTCTATGATAGACAATATGTTTTAATCTTTAAACAATAGATTTAACCAAGAAACAAATAACATTATGCTGTAGGTAAATTAACTGTAGACGTTCAAACACCTGCAACAGCTTTTAAATACCTAAATTGGCTACCAATAATTCATGACAGGGCGCACATTTAATAATTTTAATCAAGTGATGATAAAATTCGCCACGATTCCGGCTGCACTTGGAACGATGCTCGCCCAAGTTACGCATTGTAAAAACAAAAATAATAACTTGCTGCTTATTTAGATCTTAATTTAGTTGAAGATGAATTCAAGAAATAGTGGCTTTTTAACAGAATGCTATTTTGTCCTGTTTGAAGATACTTTAATACTTATAAATAAATAAAACTTTTTTTTAAATTTACTTAGCACGGATTTATTTATGTATACAGTTAAAATGTAACGGGTTTCGTCTGAAAATATAATATATAATATTTCTTACGTTCCATTTTTAATAAATTTTAAATTTACAGTTAGAAATAAAACACAGTGTAATAGGGATTAGATGTGCCCTTTATTATTATATCACAGCGTATATAAAGCAAAAAAGTACAGATGAAAAATGTATTCATAGCTGATAGTATTACTCGTCTTCACCAGCTTGTTATGCTATCTTGTATAATACAACGTTTAAAAGGTTTTGTTAAATAGTACAATGGTGAAGAGTTTGTTATATAGGTATAGGATCTGTTCAGTAGAGATGAGACGCGAAATAAAAATATAGATAATTATTTTGATTAACGAATTTTTCCCCACAAACGTTTATGAAATCACCTAAAATTAAATTGTTTATCTGAAATGAGTTTGTTTGAGATACAAAATATATTAAGTATATAAAATGATCATTAGTATTTACAAACGCATCTACGACAAACTTGGCACCGACATAGAAGGATTCTATAGATTTTGGTTTCATGTCTGATGCCAATATTCGAGATTTTTGCCAACAAAAAAACTTCCTCGGGTCTAGTTTGTTACGAAGTAATAAATGCTACAAACTTTTTCACTGAAATCACGGTGAAGTGTTCGACTGGCCTAGTAATTTGCCAGATCTTGATCCATTGGACATTATTTTTAAAATTAATGAAAATAGATACCTGCAACTAAATTATTATCTACCCACAAAAATACGGTTCGATGATATATATAATCTAATATCTTACTAATAAGCTCAAAAGAAGTTTTGCATTGGGTTATAACAATGAAAAAGTCACGAAGACTAATGCACTGCAAAGTATTAAACATAGGTCATATTTTAAAATTATTAAATAATCCAAAAAGATTTTGTCATGGTATCAAGAATGCTACAAAACCTGAATACATACTTTCTAATAACAACGGCATATGCCCACATGCATCTGTTATAAATATATTGTACATAGAAGTGTCATAAACTAATAAGAGTAACAATCGAAATTGATATTAAATTGAAAGCGACAAAAATTGTTAAAGTAACGGCGCTGTATAAATGTGGAAGTTAAATTACCAAGATACCAAAATGACCTTAACAAGAGGCTAATATCTAAGCAAACAGACAGCAGAACATAAATGAACTTTCGAGTATGACCACATAATAATTAGCAAATTCTATAGAGAAGGTTTGTCATAGACTAAGATAAATAAAACTTTAAATTCCAAGTTCAAGCGAATTAAAGTCCAAATTCATTACAACAGGCGAAAGAAAGGAGACCAAGGATATAGATACAGGATCAACAGATTTTAAAGAATTAAACAAGAAAGTGAAGAAAGATGTCCGATAAAACAAAATAAACTATATTATTAGCATTGTAAAGAGACAAACTACAGAAATCACGAAATTTTGAAACAGAACGTAGGTAATAGTGGTGACCAAGAACTAAATTATTAAGATAATCAGGAAATTCTACTTCTGGTTGATTTTCTCTAATGTAAAATACTTATAAAATACACAGGAAAGATAATTATTGTGGGATTAGAAGACCTTCCAGAGATTTATTATCATTATCAATAACTATTCCATCCATCGTCGGATGTAAGCCTTCCTTAGGTGTGTCCATTCATTTCTGTTTGTTGTTTTTTGCATCCATTCCTGACCAGCCATTCGCTTGGTCTCATCAGTCCATCTAGTTTAAAATCTGCTTCTACTTCTCTTGCTTGCTCTTGGTCGTCATTTAAAATTCGCTTCGTTCAACGGTTATCTTCCATTCTTCCTGCGTCTTGCCCAGTTCCACTTTAACATAAGCATTCTCCGTTCCATAGCTCTCTGAGTCACTTGGAGTTTGTGGACCATTTTAATGCTAAAAGCTTACGTTTGATTTCCATATATCAGTACCGGCAATACGTACTGATCAAAAGTTTTTGCCTTCAAAGTATTTGGCAAGTTTGATTTCAATACCTTTTGTAATCTTCCGAATGCTGTCCATGTTAAAGAACATCTTCTATTTCAGTCAGTAAGTTAAAAAAGGAGCATATTAACTTGGGAAAGGATCACTACAGGAACAATGCAACCAATTTGTGGCATTAGAGTTAGAAGACTCTGATGGTTTCCAGTGCAACAACTAACACCAACCACATCCTTTTCTGACTTGGCTGCACCGTACTGAAGACGACCAATAGTCAGAAATACGTATATACGGTTCCCTTCCATCTATATACCATTTTTGGTTTTTTGTTTTGCGACACATGCCATTACACATCAGGGAAGCCAGTACACTTATACGATTAATACAAAATAGAGAAGAATTCCAGTTCATGGTCTCTCTCGTTGATAAAGAAGAAGAATATAAATAGTATTTTTGACATTTTTAAACACAGTGTAATTTTCTTTAAATATCTTGTATTTTTTACTTTTGTAAAGGTGTTAATGGCCTTTGTTTTTGAGACAAGTTAGTGTAAATAAATGAAGGAAAGATCTATAGACCTGAATTCGTTTAAAACTACAACGTAATTAGAATGGGTTATGGAGATAAACAATAGTCACTGTAAAACCATTTACAACAAAACAAAATCTACTTTTATTGAGTAGATGTGTTTCTAAGATGTAATACTTGATTTTTCAATGTACTTTAAGTTTGAATGTGACTTTTACTTTTGATCAACAATTTTTGTTAGTCACATAATTATTTATTTAGTTATCACCGGATCGTTCTCATCTCAACTGACTTAGAATACAGACGTAAATGATTTATTGTCACAAGATGAAACATTTTACAAGAAGAAGAACAAACGAAAATATCTATAGATGTACAATAGAATTTCAATAGCGTCAACAGTAACATTGTTTTACTTATCACATATATTGGAAGTCAACACCTTGGGGTATTTTCGGGGTATAATCGTCTAATTATGAAGAAAGTGACTACTTGTTTGCTCCGGTGATATAAAAGATTGTGGTTTGCATGATATACATTGACCAAATCGGTAGTTACATCAAATAAATATAAATTTTAATATACGCCATGCTTAATTTAATTAAGACTGGTGGGAAAACTAATAATATTAATACAAATTTTTA